CAGGTGGATACAGGGGGTCTGTGCAGTCATAGCTCTGGGTTGCTGTCGCTGCTCACTGGGTTGATGCAGAGGCTCCTCTGGTCCGTCCCAGATGAAGCAGTGGCCTTCGTATCTCTCAAGAGGGAGTCTCTCAGGCCCAGGGGTGCAGGCTCCTGCCCTGTGTGGGGCTCTCAGTTCAGGCACTAGTAAGGAGGTGTCAGAGTGGAGGCACCTGGGCTGGGCACAGACAGGTGTGTGTGCCCGTCCTGCCTGGGGCTGCAAGGCCTGAGTCTGGTACTGGGGCTCCCTCTGAGAGCTGCTCTGTGTGGCCCCTGCGCCTAGTCTGCTGTGGGAAGGGGGCCCCTGGTGGCCTGCGGACAGAACCCCGGTACAGCTGGGTCCAGGGCTGGAGGAGCACTCCTAGGATGGGCCTGGCGCTGGCCTCCTGAGGCTCCCTGACTGGGTCAACCTCTAAGCCTGCAGGGAGAGGGTTGGTTCGGGGTGAAGCCGCTCTGCACATCCTGACACAGTCAGTCACCTTGATTTAGAAATGGTCAGTAGGACCTGCCTGGGCCACTCCCGAGGGACATCTTTGCATGGGTTTGGATGACAAGGCCACAGCCTACGAGGCAGGGAACAAGCGTGGGCTGTGTGTTTCCCGGCTCCGTGTCCCCACCCTTGTCCTTGTCTTGCTGCCACCTGTGCAGTGTATCTGATGTGCCCTCCTCATTCTCACAGGTGTCTCGTCCACGACCGGGCCAGGTGAGTCCTGCTGTCCCCACCTGTCAGGTGTCTCCTCCTTCCCTGCTCCTCTCCCCAGGCCCAGGTCAGCAGCTGCATGAGGCCTCTGCAGACTCCTGCCGCTGCCCAGAACATTCCCTGATCTTTTAGGGTGTGTGGGGAGTGCAGCTGAGCTCACAGCAGGTAGATGCTCCTTTGCGGGTGGGAGATGAGAACCTTCTGGCTGCGGAGGGGGTTGCCGCACGGGGCTCACTGGGCCGTTGTGTTGGGAGAAGGAGGTTCTGTCCTGGGTCACAGGTGCTGGAAATCATCCTCTGTTCCCCGGGTGGCTGACCAGGGTAGTACACAGTTTTTTCTTGTCCTTAATCCTGAGCAAACACTGACTGGTGCTTGTACCAGCAAACCATCTGTCAGGAGAGAAGTGTCATTGTCCTTTGGGGAATGTGACGCCTGTTTCCCTGGTCGTGGAGATTCAAGGCCATGGCCTTGCTCACTGCAGGCTCCCTAGAAGGGTCTTCTTTCTCCCCTAGCCCCAGAGCTTCTGTGTGTCCACTGTCCCAGCTCAAAATCACAGGTCACTAGACCCCGCCTGGTTACCATGCCCCTTCCTCTCTAATCTTGCTGTGTCTTTCCTGCAGGGTGGTGGCCCACAACAGCTCCTTCCCATGGTAAGTGTCTTTGCGTCCTGCCAAACATCAGCCTGCAGCTCTGCACTCTGCAGGCCTAGGGGACATCCCTGGGTTTTGCCTGAAGCCTCT